TGGCAATTTGCGTGAAAGACGGGCGACAACTAAAAAAATGAAATTTTTCAACCAAACCTTTCGCCTAAAATTTGAAATTTTGGTTCTTTCCTATTAACGGGGGGAGAGTAAATTTTTATTTTTTTTTGCCAAATCCCAACGGTTAGTCACCAATACTATTTATACAATGTCTTTTGTAGTTTTTGGTTACTAGAAAGCGGTAAAAAATTAAAAATTCGAAAATTTCGAGGTTTTTTTTGATCATTTTTCATTTTTTGAGCAAAACTTTTGGATAATTTTTAGATGTTTGTCAACTTTTGTATATACCCCCGTTAACAGGCAAGAACCAAAATGTTCAACCTAATTCGACTTACAGGTGCTAAGGTTGTGCTCGGCGTGGGTGACGGGGGCTGTGATTATATGGATCCGATCAATTTCCTGCTCTCCTCGCAGCCAATGCTTAAAAAAAAGAAAGATTCGTCAATAATCAAGTAAACCATACCCTGATCTTGTGCTCCAAGAATTCCCCGATAATGGTCCATTTGAAGATTTGAGCCTGGAATTGGACATCGAGAAGCATCTTCTTGGCTCGAATATGACGGAATGGATCAAGCACACCAAGGTAGAAGCGCATATGCATCGAATCCAGTGAACGGATCTGAAATCATCGAAAATCAATCAAAACTGACAAGGTTTTCTGGAGAAAATACTACAAAGAAAAGTTCTAGCTAAAAAACTGGTTTTCGAAAAATGTTACCACCTGCTTCGGACAAAATAAATCATATAGCGAAATATAGGTAATTTTTACAGTGTTTTAAACGGACTTTAGTCATACCAAGCTCAAAAAATTCTGAAAATTCGCGATAATTTTGGTTTTTGGGCAAAAGTGTGTGAAAATGGCCAGAAAGTCAAAAGCTTGAATTATTCAAAAATTATAAACTATTTTTTGCAATTTTCTAGGAATAAAAAACAACCCAAGACACCACACATCAAAAAGTAGTAAGCGGCAAAGCAATAAATAGATCCTGCTAAAAATCGAAAAATGAAAAAATTTTCTTTATAATAATCGTCAAAATGAAAATTTCGGTCTAAACGAACCATTGGATGTGTTAAGAAATCGGCGCATCTATGTGGATCGACCTGGACAAGCTTTATAAACTTTTGGCAGACGAGTTGCGATGTGTGGAAAAGATCTAAATAATATTTTCCTAATCCCCGCGTCATGAAATTACCGAGAAATTTGCGAAGACTTTCGAAAGATGGGATGTCAGCCGGGTCGGCAATTCTGGTCACTTTCAAGTTGAGCGAGGCCCAGAATTTGTGCCCAAATGAGAACGGCGCATCCGACATCTGCAAGTGAAATATTTCTAGAAATTTGAGAATGATACCTCGTGAATGGTGGAATTTAGAAGAAGCAATCGGATGAGGGCCGTTCGATAAAGACTCGTATCGGTCCCCTTGCAGCCAGCTTTTAGAAGGGGTATATCGTCGAGTGGTAGCGCCCATCTGAAAAAATCGGTTCTTTCGTAATTAATTTTACTTTTTAAATTTTATAACAGCGCCGCAGGCGAAAAAATTTAGAAAACCGCGTTGGTAACGCTTAAATTCGTGTGAAAACACATCGGAAACGGCGCGAGCAAGCGAAATTTTGATCAGCAAAATGGTGCCCTAATGAAAACGAGCGCCGCAGGCAAAAATTTTTAGCAAAATAGGTTTTCTAGAAGTAAAAATCGTTTCGAAACAGTGATAAACAGCGCCGCAGGCAGAAAAATTTTTGAGGAAAAATTCCAAGGGTTCCCCCGGTAAGTTTTGCCTCACCCCATAGATTTTGCCTCTGAAAGGTTTTCGCTATTTTCGCCATTTTCATCGGGATTTTTTAAACGCCATTCGATAGAGCGTCAAAAAATATACGAAGAGTTTTAATTTAAGCCTACAATAATGTAAAAAAAAGCCTCGCAGGCAAAATGTTTACAAATAAAATTGATACATTCCCGAAAAACTAGCGCTGCAAGCGAAAATTTTTGGAAAGATAGGTTTTATTGCAGTTGAAATTGTTTTAAAAACAACCAGGGTTGAAAAGCCGCTTCGCGTCTTTTTCAACCCTGGCCCCGTCTAACTCCAGTTTATCATTCACTTTGCATAATTGTCCTGAATTCAGATGACAAAAATGAAAAACAACTTCTTCTGTGCCTTTATATAGCCGAATCACCACTTCCGGTCTATGCTAATTATTTCCTAACAAAGGAGCTTTCACAAAAACTTAAATTTAATGTCGAAAATGGCTGATTTTGTAAAATTTGATATGTGTGCAGTCATCTCAAGACCACTGCGCACCTAATGACGTATCAAACATACCCGTAACTTCATCCCCTATCGAAATATCCTCCGGACAGACAGACGGAAGTGGATGCAAAGTGGCACACACACACACAGACACTATTTTTTTATATATAGTAGGAATAGTAGGATAATATATAGCGCCGCAGGCAGAAAAATTTTTATGAAAAAATCATAAGGGTCCCCCCTTATGAACTTTTCGGACCTCGCCCGATTTCGGGTGGGGGGGGCACCGTGCCCCAGGTGCCCCCTCGTACGGGCCTGAATATATATAACAGGAGGAAGTGTATACCCCTGTTTTTTCACTATATTCCTAAACGCTGCAAAAAATGTGTACAGAATAAAAATTTTTTCAATAAACATTTCAATTTTCTAGACTATTCTGCCTCATGTATAACCATTTTCACTAAAAAGTCGATTAAAATACTAACTGTGACGCTACTAATCTATTCTGAATCTATATAATCTATTATCGAAAACATTCTGAACCCGGGAAACGCTAAAAAACAAAAGAAATTCATAAAATGAGCCCATTTCAGCCAAAAGCTAAAAAGATTGCTGGAAAGAAAACAGACTCGGGAGGTTTGAGTTCATATAGCGGGATGATCTCTTCGTAGACTTCCTCCGGTCGTTGGGTAATTCGCAAGAACAATTGGTTGCAACATTCGGCCGGACGATCAATCCATCGGACAGTATGATACTTCTTTGGCGTCTCTTCAACGGCATCCCACATCTCCGGACATGATAATGCCAATTGGAGATGGCTCCATGGATCGAGGCGTGTCAGAATACCCTCCATTACACGCGGGGGCAACTTGTCCAGCATTTATAGCCGAAACTACCTGAAAATTCGGCTAAAATGGAGTTCTGAAAGGCTCTTGAAATAGGCGATTCGGCATCAAAAGCCTGCTGTATTTTACGAGAACGAGTTGGTAATCAAACAATAGCTTTATTCCCTCAAAAAAACTAAAATCCACGCTGTAATATTTCCGCACTATTTCGCTCCGGCATTATTTGTGGCAGGCTTGAATTGATCGACATCAGGAAGTACGCCTCTCTCTTCGAATGCTTTTGTGAATTGATAGGCATGGCGAAGGGATCGATCTATCTATTAGGGAGGGATTGAAGTGCAGTACTAAAAATTATGTATACCGGATCGGTGCCGCGCATAATATGTCCTCTCGACAATGGGGGGAGAGGACACCTGATGCGCGGCACATATCTTTCAGAATAGGGATAACTCACTCTAAAAAAAAGAAATTATGCATTGATTTTTGAGGGCCATTACCCACCGGATAGGTAATACCGCGGGGGTCGCGCCCCGCTCCGCGACGCCACGGAGATAGCCGATAACCTTCCGGACGCCAGATCTGAAAACAAGGCACAGTTCCAATGTTTCCAAGCAACAACCTAACCGAATCCGTCAACAAGTCCATTTTCGTGGCGCCTTTGTTATACTGGTTGAACTCGATGCACTCCTCCCTCAGCTTCTCCTTTGCGTCCTCGGCTAACGCCGGTCGAATGGCTGATAGTTGCGACGCGATACGCTGAGGAATAATGATATACTACCGGGCAAAGTATACCATCAGATCGGCAATCTTGCGGATAGACTTCTCATTTTTCTCATAACTTCCCAGGCATCGACCACTAAACATAATCTTTATAAGCAGTCAAACAAAACTTACCGTCGAAAATTGTATTCGCTACGTATTAGATAGAGGCAATCGTCCACGTCATCCCGATAGGCTAGCAAGGCTTCACCCTAAAATTTGGTGTTGAGAGCCTTTAAATAAAATTCGCTTACATCACTGGCCCTTAGAATGAGCGGCATTGCGTGGTATGTTCGATCGATCCATCCCAATTCTGGAGACAAATTGTCAACGATCCACGCAATCACTAGAAACCAATCAGACGTCAAATATCGAATCGTTTACGAGGGCTGAGTACATCCAAGTAAAAGTCGATTTGAATCATCTGAATTTCATCGTTTCCTTGCAGCCATCCCTGAAAATCGAAAACCTTGGCAAAAACACAAATTTTACATCGATTCTTCGACGCAAATAAGTGAATGTGTGGAGGGAATCGAATTCGTTTTCGTCAAAGAGGCCGATGCACAAATCTCTGGCACGAATCGATATCAGACTTGCAAAATAGCCACTGAAGTCGAGGATTTGCAGCTTTTCTAGTGAGCACACCTAAATACTGTTTTTGTGATTCACTGGGGTGCTTTACAAGAATGTCATAAACACCCACCAATTCGCTCCTGAAGAAATCCTCGTAGTTACCAGCCGCATCCTCAATATCCATGAAGAAATTATTGTAGACCAACTCGGTGGGTTTTATTCCATCCATAAAAAGATGAATAAAACAGGGAAAAGAGATACCCAGAAAGAGCTGTAGATCGAGTACTGATAACACATCGGTCGGATCAGTGATTCGCGTCACTTTCATATTCAACGAACACCAGAATGCGACGCCGAGATCGAGGGGAGCTGCGTGGAGCTTCAAGTAATACACACACAATCACTGCCCAAAGACAACAACCAACCTGTTCCACGGTGGCATTTGAAAGGAATACTTTCAGCATTTTCCTACAGTCAACCCTGTCGCGGACCTCCAGCTTCTTTCCAAAGCCACTTTTGACGGGAGAGCCCTTGATTTGCCGAACGAGAGAACCGTAATTGTTGAAGTAGAGGCAGAAGACCGTGTCTTTTTCTATCCCGCATTTAACGACCTTGTACTTCTTCGGCGTCTCTTCCACAATTTTTTGCATTTGAGTGGAAACCTTGACCAATTGAAGATAATCAGTGACCTCGAGTAATGCCAGAATACCCTCCATCACCCTCACAGGCAGCTTGTTCAGCATTGTTTCGCTATAATTTATTTTTCTCTCGATGATAACGTGTATGTTTGTATGTATTTTGATAGAAAGAACTACTCTCGACGCATTTAAACCCTCAGAAAAGCGATAATTCCTTTATGAGCGGTATAAAGCCTGTAAAAGACACGTGTCAACATCATCTAGGCAAGAAATGGCAGGTGTATCAAATAAAGGCTGCTGCGGAGGGAGAGAGACACACGGAAATAGACCCGAATTGTTGAGAGAGGGAATGGGGAAATAGATTAGAGATAGAAAGGGGAGCATCACCTCATTATGGCTGATATTAAAGGGAGAGTGACAGACAGTTGTGGAGGGAGGGAGAACAGCTAAAGACACATTAATAGAGAGAGATAGTAGACGTATTAAATTGGGGTATAAATGTACTGTAGTATTAAGGGTGTATAATTAGAGGGTACTTCCATAGATGCCTTCACGATTGACGACTCGCATCTCGATCAGTCCACACTCGGCACTATCCTCGTCGATCAACACCAGATCCTTTGCACGACGCGCCTGGGCTGGGTCCCAGCTGCAAAAAGGAATTTCTGATTTAAAATTACATAACACACTAAAATTAAACAAATTTTAAAATTAAAAATCGTTACAAATTTTTTCTATATACTATATGTTATTTTATTTTTATTTGAATCGGAAAACTGTCCAAAAATTCGAAAATTTTGTCGAAAACGATATTTTGTATTTTTAATAGCTTTTTGTAAAGTTTCTCGTAAAAAATTCAACCCCAAGGAAACCACCCCCGCTAATGCAAAAGCTCCAGAATTTAAACCCGTATATAATACAGAGGATTCCGCAAAGACCCTCTGCTAGCTAGCCCCAAAACGAACCTCTGCTCGGCCCATCCAGCACTGCTACCACGTCCAAAGATGGCGAACACGGCTCCACCAGCCAAGATGACACCCGAACACGTGAAGAAGAAGCCAACCCATTCTTGGAGACGACTGAAAAGGAGAGAGATCATAGGAGAGAGCGAGAGAGAGAGAGAGAGAGAGAGAGAGAGAGAGAGAGAGAGAGAGAAGCCAAGACAACTGACTTGAACTGCAGAAAATGCAAAGCGGCGGGCGGTGCACAAGTGAAGGCGAAACCCATAGACACTCCACATAGGGCCAGTATATGCTGAGCATAAAATCTAGAAATAAACGATTACGACATCAAAATGAGAATACCGTACCTTCCGACAAGAGTAGCACTCCGGAGGGCACCAGCCATCGTGAAACCGAGAGGGGCAATCGAGAAGAACATCGTCCAGAGACGACTGAAAAGAGAGAGGAGGGTTAGCAGAGGCCATTTGAGACGAACACAGGTTCTTTCGCATTATCCGGGGGGCTTTTTCCTAAAATCTAATTTTTCAGATATGAATCGTGGAAGTGTTTGTAAATGGTTTTTTACTATTTCTAAACGTGAAAACTACAAATTTTACTAAAAAATATAGATTTTTCGACCAAAAACGGCCATTATTGGCCACAATTTCGGCGTTTTTAGATAGTTTTCTAGTTGAAATATGGTTTTTTACCAAACACAATTTCTATTAAATTAATAGGCATTTCTAGACCTATGCAAAAGCTCGCCCCCCCGACAATGCAAAAGCACCCGAGAAAAACATACATTGTCTGACTGGCCTCCCCTCGATAATTCAAGAAGATGTACGGCACAGCCACCATCATGAATCCGGCACCCACAAAAGCCACCGAATTCCAGATTCGCACCTGAAAAGAGGATGATAGATCGGGAAAGAAAGAGGACTATACCTGCCAGGTAGATGAACAGCAGTTGGAGCGATGCACGAAGTACGCGATGAAGTGGCAGATGAGCTGAAAAAAAAATAGTTTTTAAAGGGGATGGCAAGGCTGGGCTGTGGATTTGGATGGCGCGGCGAGATACGAACGCACGTGTCCCAGGTCGCCCTCTGAGAATCTGAATTCTTTAACCGCTGAAAAGACGCGGCAAAAGTGTTTGGGGCAGTAAAATCAAGAGGAAATCCATAGCTTGCCAGGCCCTGAAAGGACTATTGAAGGCACGGGTGAACTGCTTGAAAATGCCGGCCAACACCACAAATTTTACGAACGTCAAGATAGAGAGGCTATCGATTTCTTCCGCAGCCGCGACACGCAACGCACGCATTTTAAACCGTTTTGAAAGAAACGCAATTGATTACGCAATTAAAATGTGCGCGACGCGTGTACGGCAAAACCAACAGGGATGCTTTCCAGCTCCTTTAAATGGAAATAAAAAAGGTGAACGGCTGGAAAACGCGATCCATCAACGTACCATTCCAAAGAACGGCAGGCACCCGTAGAGTCCGATGAGGTCGACGAGAAAGATGTCAGTGTTGCCGTAGAATGTTGGCAGGAATGTCACGTACATACAGATCTGGAAAACAAATAGACAATTTAATTTAAAAGTGAAATAAATAACTTTTCAAAATCAAAAAATTCTCGCTCTATCGATTAAATTACATTACGTGTAAAAATAAATAGATTCTTAATTTATTAAATTTAAAATTAAATTAACTGAAAACTAATAAATAAATTTCAGAAAAACCGACAATCCAGAAGAAGCCGATCATGGCCAGCCAAATGGCCCATGCAGAGAATGAATGGAGGAGGGTCCAGAGGGGCTCATCCAGCAGACGGTTGTTCTTCAATTCCTAAAAAATTAGAAAATAATTTATAAATCTATAAAAATCGGTAAACCTGCACTTTTCCGGCGACAATTCGATTCAGCTCGATGCCGTTGACCCATGGGTGTAGTTGGGGCTTTTCACGGTAGAATACGGCAAATGTCAACGCCAGCAGCAAGGTGAAGCCCTGAAAACATGTCATAGAAAATCACCTATTTAAATTTAACCAACTTCAAAAATTTAAAAGCTATGTTTTAAAAAGATTTGTGTAGCTTTTTTTAATTTTGAAATGATAAAGCCTTTTAAAAATAACGTATCTAAAATCTTAATTTTAAAAATAAACTAAAAACTTTTAAAAGCATGAAAACGTACAGCCTGTGCCCAGTAGACAATTTTCATGACCTCATCGATTCGGATTAACGAACTGACAAAGAAGATTGTCCAATTCCACGAGAAGATTGTTCCCAGCTAGAAAAGTCAAATTATAAAGGTTTCACGCTGAAAATTACCGGAACAAAGAGGAACATGGTGGCGATGAAGGAGGCCTGGTCTTTCAGCGTGCCCCAATTCGCCGTGATGTTGCCTAAATGGGGGTGTAAAATAAAAAGATGAACTTATTTTTAATTATCAAATAATCAAAGTTTGATGTAGCCTAATTATTGATTCCGTAAATTGTACCTATAATGGGCATGACACAGGCGAATCCGAGGCCGACACCGAGACGACAGATGAATATTGGGAGGAAACCGAGAGGGATGGCTGGAGGGGTGAGGGCTGTGAAGATTGCTGAGATCACCATCGACGTCACCATCACCTGCAATTGAAACAGATTACAGGGTTCTTCTGCCTTATCGGGGGGCGGAATTGAAATCCTTAACCTTTCAAATAAATATACAAAAATTTCTTACCGGCCAGGCGCCCCATTTGTCGATGGCAGATCGGGCTGGGAGTGTTCCGACAAGAATTGCTATTCCGGGGGCCGAGTAGATGAATCGCCGCTGGATATTTTGGGTCTGATTGTAGCGCCTGAAAAATCATCAAATATTTACAAAATACGGAAATTAAAAATACATCAAAATTCCAGTTTGCAAGATCAATAGCAAGGCTTAGGCTTAAAACTGTCCTCTAATCCCAAAAAAGCCTGAAAAACCAAACATGTTGTTAATTTCGTAAAGCGCCCAAAAAAGCATAAATTACCCACAAAACATCGTATAGGTCATCGTAATTCCTAAAAATTGCAAAATTCTAAATTTATAGAAAAATGACGCGAAAAATCGTAAAACACTTTAATTAAAAAAACAACTAAAATTTTCTAAAAACAATTCAAACAATTCGAAAATCATAAAATAAATAAAAACTAAAATAATCTCAGAAGCGCTCCGATCGAAAATATGTTTTTTATTGACTAGAAACCCCCTGTAAAATGACGTACCACTTGTCGCGCTCATAATCGGTGGGGAATCGTTTGTATTGGGTGATATTCGGATCATAGACATCTCCATCAAATGGCAGTGGCATCAGATACTTTCCAGCCTTGGAATAGAGCTTGGGCTTGCCGGGTTGTGTCGGTGTCGGTTCCTCGGCAGTACTCCGTTCGAAGCGCTCTTTCGTGGAAATGGCCTCGGTTGACGTCGAAGAGGGCTCGGTGGTTGGCTAAATAAAAAAAATAATATAAATAACTTAAAAAAGCCAAAAAACCTGTTGTGTGGTTGTCGTCTGTAAAACTGTGGTGGTGATGGCGGATGGGACAGTCGAATTGTCGTCTAAAAACAAAAAAAATTCACTAAAAACTAAAAAAAACTGGTAATTTCGATTTTGATTCAGTTTCATTCATACGAAAAAAATCAAAATAGCCTACAGAATTCGAACGATACAGAGCTAAAATTCAACTAAAAACCATAAACATCCGGAATTTTCTAATTTCGTTATCAGAATTTGACAGGCTATAAAATTGCCTTTTTAAAGCAACCATTTTGCTCACCAAGAATATTTTGCAGCAGTGTCTCCGACCCATTTCCTCCTTCCGCTTCTGCTTCTTCTCCAATGTCCGTCTCATTGAGTGTCCTCCTCCTCCTTCCGGGTCCCGGATGGAGATTCTCCAATTGTTCCACAGTCCGCAGTCCGCCACTCAATTCCCGCGAGTGGACCACCTAAAAAAAGCGATGTTGACGAGTTCAGGCTCGAAAATTACCGAGGTGAGGCCAAAGATAACGATATTGGCGAAGAGCATGGATATGCACAACGTCGCCAACAGGAGCACCAGATGCCGCACATTGTTGTGGAACATGCAACAACACGCTGGCACCGCCATCCTGAAAAAAATAAATGATTAAAATGATTTTGGAGTTTCAAGAGCTGATCTTCAAGATAGGATGAAGAAATAAATCACTATTTTCGGGTGTTTCCTCTTGACTCACCTGTTATCGGAGGCAAAAGTCGATCGATGGACGAGAAGAGTTGTTGGCGTGCCAAATGTCGACCTGGAACCCAGGAATTAGGCAAGAAACGCTATTTTTGAGAAACAAAAAGGACAATTATTAAGATAGCATAAATGAAATGAAAATGAAAACCAACCTTCAGCAAAAATGCGAAAAACCGCAAAATCGCTTTTACAGGAAAAATCTTAACACCAAAATTTCCAGAAAAACGTAGAAGAGAGAAAAAAATTCCCCTAAAAATGTCATGATTTTCGCGCAGAAAAAGCCACGTATAGGACTGAAATTGTAAAATACGGAAAGGGCAACAAGAAATTCTACAATACGCCAAAATCCTATTATTTCAAAGCAGGCGAACCTAAATTCAGGTTTCAGCCAAAAAGGCCAGAAAAGACCCGTTGAATCCCGCGAAGAATTTGATGCTTTTCGAGCCAAAAACAGGAAAAAAGATATCTCGGGCAACCTGATCTGCAATGCATTACGGGCGCTTTTCAGGGCGGTCAAAAAGGGAAAAAGCTGACGGACAAATACACTGATCATTTCCTAAAATCTTTAAAAATGAAAAAAAGCACATAGGGCAAAATCCCGGTAAATCAGGAACAAAAAGGAGTATAGAAATGGCAACGCTCGCGGTTTTGGCGCCCGCAGAAAGCGACAAAAATAGTTCGTCTGGGGCGCATGCATGCATTTCGTGCTTCTCTCGCCCGCGCTCCATCCCCCTATCCTTCGTCTCTCTTTTTCGGCGCTGAAAAAAACAATCGGGGAAAGAACCGTGCATCGATCAATACAGGGGGGCCATCCAACGATATTAGGGGAAACGGAAAAGGAAAAGGAAAAAAGAGGAAGGGGAGGGCGAGACATGACCCTTAGTAGGCAAATATAAACATTTGTGCCCCTATCTCGCTCTTCACACATGTCCAAGTCATCCAAGGAAGAGAGAGAGAGAGAGAGAGAGAGAGAGAGAGAGACGCGTGAGATGGGGAGAAATGAATCAGATATGAACAAGCATTCAGATCTGATTCTGAAACGGAGAAAGGTATATTTTTGGCTGATCACAACGTTAGCTCCAGGCTGAAAACGCCAAAAATTCCAACAGGCTAGCAGGGTTCATTGGGGAAATTGCTTCCCAATCTTGTGCAGCTGAAGCTCGGCCAGATTTCCTGAAGATGAAAACCGCCAAACCAAACAATACAACGCCCATGAATGCAGCTGGCCAACCGCCAACTAATGGGGAGATTGTGCGAACCGGCCATTTAGAAGAGGCCCCAGGGGGAAGCTCGTAAAAATGGATAGTACAATGCATAGTTTACTACCAGGGAGACCCGGGGTCCGCACTAGAAAAAGAGGGTAGTGAAATTAGGGCGACAAAAATCGGGGGGCGTACCCCCGCGTCAACTGAGACAACAGCTGGTCTATGTCCACGATTCGACAAATGACACGAAAGAAGGAGGAATGAATTTTGGAAATGGCACAGAGAGGGGGAAAGAGGGACAGCTGTCTTAGCCAGGGGAGGAGGAGAAGCTAGGCTAGCTAGTACTTCGGTTAGAAAGTCGACTAGCAAACAAAAAAAATAAATCGACGTCAAACGGAATCTCGAAAATCATCCAAGTTCGCAAAAAATGGGTACTTGTCCGTCAGCGGGGGAGGCTATTCAGCATAATTTCTAGTGCTTCACAGCCTTTTAGAAGTTTTTGATTGCTAAATATCATCAACAAAGCTCGAAAGAAATTGCGAATTTGCGACCATTTTCGTACCGTTTTGCCCAGAAATCTAAAATTCTAACAGTTCAGTACTCAAAAATGAAACGCAGTGACACTGGTTTCAACCTCACGCCAAAATAACGGATTTTCACTGTCAAAAACGCATTTTTACAGCACAGTACCCCTTTCCAAAAAAAATCCTTTCTACAAGATTCGCAAAACGCGATAGCACGAAAAAATATAATATTGCACTCTTCTAGCAATTCCCTCTTCATTTAACACCTTTTCCAGAAAAAAAATATTTATTCAAACAACCCATCTGCACAAAAAAAATCGGTGTGATACAAAAGAAATGGCGGGGACCGGTGGGAGCCGGATGCCCCGGGCGGACTGCAATTCAAACGTTTTCTTCTTTTTCTTTTGGGATTAATTGGGGGGGGCGAGGAGGGCTAGACGGTAGTGGAATTGGTGGGCACCGTCGTGTAGTCGCTCGAATCGCTCGCTTCACTAGACGACGGGTCGTATTGCGAGACTTCGATGGCGCCGGCTGAAAAAAAATCCGTTAAAAACCACTTGTTTGTCGGCACTGTTTTTTGGGCTGTGAAAATAACGCATCTAGCAAATTTTGACTGAAAAATAAGCAAAATATGTTCCTATCGGCGAAAATTTCCATGTAACATTTTTCAACTCCAAATTCTTTAAAATTTCTAAATTTACTAAAAATCTCCCGAAATTTACGTGAGGATGTGTCTTCTGGGTTAACGGCAGCGGCTTCTTCTTCCTCTTCCTCCTCCTCCTCATCATCAGCCCCCTCAGTCGACGGTTCACTCGACGAAGACTTGTGGTTCATGATATACTCATAGTGCCTAAAAATACAAAATTAAATTGATGTCCATAATTCGACGCACCGTCCGTGCGGCTCGAAGTCGAGCGGGTCCTCCTCTCCGTAGCCACAGCGCTCGCAGATCGAAAAGAATATAATTATGGAAATTTTGAGGAATCTACCTTATTGAGCATGTCCATCAGGAAACCATAATTGGGCTTGTCCTCGTATCTCAGCCAGCGGATGTGGTGGTACATCTTGAAGAACTCCACCGGGCAACCTAAAAACGTTAATTCTGACAACTAGCTATGTTTATAGCGACAAATGCCGAAAAAAAGTGTTTACAATCTTGAAAATCCGATAAAAAAATCGGAAATTGAGATTTAAAATCGATATTGTGTATTTTTCGGTTCTTTAGGATTCCCGGGGGGGGAAAGTATTCCCGGGGGGGGAAACCAATTTTTTTCCTGGTTTTCCCGGTTGACCTAGTAATCAAATATAAAGTGTTTTCGAATTGTTTTTAGTAAGTTTTAACTATATTTAAAGCAGAATAACTTTCAGAAAAATTTAGAAAAATGTTTGAAAAAGTCGAAAATTTGGTCATTTTGGGTCTATTTTTCGACCTAATTTTTAATTTTTTACATTTTTTTGGTTAAAATGTGTGTAGTTTTTATGCACAGGAATAGTTAAAAACAATTTAGAAACGCATCCGCAATTTATACAAAAATCTAGGCTTTCGCCGAAAAAAATTTGGTTTCCCCGGGAATACTTTCCCCCCCCCGGGAATCCTAAAGAACCTATTTTTCAAACCAAATGTTCTAATTAGCTACAAAAACGGCAAAAGTAGTTGAGATCACCAAACAAACAGCTTCTTTATACCTTTGAGCAGTTTGGTGCCGACGGTCTTCTTTTTCTCAGCAATCACCCGGTCCGAGTCGTTGCGCCACGGTAATTTGCCCTAAACATTCAAGGAATTAGTTTTATTTATAAAAAAGGTACCGTAATAAACTCGACAACCATGTAGAGGAAACACCAAAGATCGTCACGACGGCCCTGATCTTTGCGGGCATGCACGTGCGGGGAAGCATAGCGGGAAGTGCCTAAGAACATGGTTTTCAAAATTTTAAGGCTGAAAATTACCCAGAAAATGTCCCTTTTTGCGTGGAGGGCGCATCATCGTTTCGTTGCCACCATCGTCTTTCCAAATAATCTAAAAAAAAATTATAAATTGAATTGAAAAGACGAAAAAACCGACCCATTGGCGTACGAATCCGAAGTCGAGGAGATAGACGGTCCGATTGGCGTCGTTCCACGCGAAATTGCCGCCCTAAAATAAACAAAATAAAGATCATAAAATGCGAATTTGCCTTGAGATCCCGATGGAGAAAGCCGGAATAATGGAGCAGACGGATGGCCTCGAGACATTGCTTCGCCAACCGGACGGCCGTCGAACGCGTGAAGCGCTGATTCGGACACTGCCTTCGTTTCCTAAAAAAACTCATAGAAAACCGCCAAAATACACAAACTTTGAGAGCGGCTCCCCGAGCAGCGTCATCATCATCAGGTTCACCCGCTCGTCCTTGTAGATGAACTAAAAAAAAGGGGAAAATTTAAGTATACGGTCACCTAGCGAAACCCAACTGGTTTATATATAGAAATGTTCAGCTCGAAGAGCTGGTTCAGGATCAGTTGAAAAAACTATTGGGAAACACTTCTGGAGCGAGATATAGGGGTCCAAACTTAGCTAGTTAGGTATACGGTCACCTATCCAAACAGGCATATTTTATGCATAGAAATGTGCAGCTCGTCGAGCAGAGCCGATATCTGTTGAAAGAATCATTGGGAAAAATGTATAAAGAAAGTTATGAAGGTTTGAAACTCACAAGGAAACCTCCCCAGCTCGAAGTTGGACTTCGATTAGCTATATAGCCTATCTTATGCAGTTTTTCACGCTGATAACGATACCGCTATTTATTTTTGCCGAGCGCCACAGGAACATAGTTAAAAATCGATTTAAAGTTTTGCCAGGGTTGGCGGGCCCCACCTCAAAGCCCCTCCCCAGAGGGAAGGATCCATCGGTGGCGTGGTGTAGTCGGCAAGTACTTGGCCTACCAATCTAGGGGTCGCTAGTTCGAGTCTTGCCGCTGGCGACTTTTTTGCTTTTTGCTTTAGAAGTGCTGTGAAGGTCCTACAAGTCATCAAGGAAAATATTTTTAAGTTTTTTTTTACACTTCTGGTCACTAATTCAAGTTGATCGGTTCGACTTCGAAGGAGCGTTTTTTAGTCGAAGACACTTGGAATTAACGGTCCGGTGAATCACCAACTTTGTAGTTCACCAGCAAAGCTTTTAAATTTTTGAAAAAAAGGGAAAGAAAAACTAGGTTTTGGCTTTACCTTTTTTACCTTTGTTATTTCGAGCTTTATTTTTGCACCAAGGTAAGGAGATTTAAAGTTATGAAACTCATGATAATCGTAGCGAAACCTGTGATTGGTTGTAGCCATAAATACCTGAGTTTGTGACCAGAAGTGTAAAAAAACTTAAAAATATTTTCCTTGATGACTTGTAGGACCTTCACAGCACTTCTAAAGCAAAAAGCAAAAAAGTCGCCAGCGGCAAGACTCGAACTAGCGACCCCTAGATTGGTAGGCCAAGTACTTGCCGACTACACCACGCCACCGATGGATCCTTCCCTCTGGGGAGGGGCTTTGAGGTGGGGCCGCCAACCCTGGCAAAACTTTAAATCGATTTTTAACTATGTTCCTGTGGCGCTCGGCAAAAATAAATAGCGGTATCGTTATCAGCGTGAAAAACTGCATAAGATAGGCTATATAGCTAATCGAAGTCCAACTTCGAGCTGGGGAGGTTTCCTTGTCAGTTTTCGGAAAGTTCCGGCTACGCGACACTCCTTTGTACGGAGCGGTGTAGAATGTATTCGTACGTACCTCTGCAATAACACCTATTTATAATTTTTAAGCGTTTTTAACGCTATTAATGTAAAATAAAGGTAGCGGTGAGG